ATCCAAATTTACCCAGTTCTTCCAATAATGTCCTTTATCCTTTAAACGATCTAGAACTCAATTAGGGATCATGCATTGTTAATAGTTGCCATATCTCTTCACTCTTTTAATTTGACATTTAACATTTATACATATTTATGGTTATCTTTACTTCTCTAGAAATCTAAAATGGTTCTCAAGCCTTTAAAAATATTTTGTGACACTGACTTTAAAAAAGGAAAAAAAATAGGTCAGTGTTTGTGAACTGTCCCTCATTTTGGATTTGCAGAACAGCTTCCTCATGGTTAGATTTAGGTAAATGTGACGGGAGTATTCTGTAGGCACATGATAAATGTCAATGTCTTGTGATTGGTGATGGTAAGTAACTTTGATCACTTGGGTAAAGCTGTATCTGCCAGCTTTCTCCATTCTTACAGGTCCATTTTCCTTTTGTAATTAATAATAATCTGAGAAAGACACGTTGAGATTCTGTAAACATCTTAATTCTCAACAAGCTTTCACCCAGTGGTTTAGATCTTTACATTATTCGTGGTTATATTTTCATCGGCCATCGAATGAATTGGTCTAGTAAAGTTCTCACTTGTCCAAAGACCCTAGGATGAAGGCTCTAAAACTATGGTTGTTTGTCTTGTTCTGGGACTGGGCCATGGTTTGCTTTTCAGTTCCTGCTGTTTCATTTTCAGGGAAGGTGAATGTGCTGCCTTGCTTTCTCCATTTCATTAAAACAGGGGCCTACAGGCCCCAATTCCCAGCAACTATAGGGAAATACTCCTTATTTCTGGCTTTTCACTTTGTGGTTTCACCTTTTAACCATGAACCTTGTTAACATAGTTTATCCTTCCTGCAATCTGAGTCTTCTTAAAAGCAGCCAGACCCCTAGAGTTGCACCACCTGGTTTGAAATCCTAGGCTCTCTATTTGCTAAGTGTAAAATTTCTGGTAAAATGCTTGATCTCCATTTCCCTCCTTAATCTCCTTGTCTGTAAAAATGGGAGAGGGTCAGTAATCTACCTTAAAGGTTCAACCTGAGGATTAAATGGGGATAATACAGGTAAAGTGCTTAATAAACCCTGGAACTTAGTACTTTCTCAGTGAATGTTAGTCATTGTTAAGTAAAACTAATTAAGATTGGAAAGTGCTATGAGTTCTAGTGAGAGAGTGGAAGGTGAGCCTGTCTTTTCATACATGCATGTGTATGTTCCTGCATATGAGCACATGCTCATGTATGTGTATTTCATGGCTGTCATATAGAGACATATCAAGTATGCTTTAGGAGTCTTCCTTATTCCTGCTTCCTTGATAAGTTATGTGGGCATATGCATTTGAATATATATAGATAAAATTTATGTCCATTCCTTGTTTCAATTATGTGTGAGAAGTGATCCTGCCTAGAAAACACATCACTACATGGAATAGTGACAATGGTGCTGATGTGAATGAGGAAAAACACATTTTCTCTACTTTTTAGGTTTTTTTTAATGTACAAAGAAAAATATTTTTTATTCTAATTTGTTATATAAGATAGCAGAATGCATTATAATTCATATTATACATATAGAGCATAATGTTTCATATCTCTGGTTGTACTATTTCTTAGTTTTTCTAAGACTTATATTTTTGGCCATAGTCAGCAAATATATTTAATTTTTTAAAGAAAACTTTTCTTTTAAGACTTGGTTTATTCCAGAGAAGAAAACCCAGTAAAGTATGTTAAAATGAGTTCACACCAAAGACTCTATGCCCAGTTCATCTGGGCATGAAGGTGGTAGCCGAAACTAAGGGATTCTAAATCCCAAGCATAGATAAATTATACATTTTAATCTCCAATTTGTAGTAGCTATTAGAAGGAGATGTCATCTCCCTGCCTCTATGAGGAAGGTCAAGATTCATGAGTAAACGTCAGTGAAATGTCAGGAGAGGAAAAATGACACCCTGAACTTCCTGATGTTTAAGATGGATGGATGCAAGTGATCTTCAGGCATCCCACTTGAATTGGGTCGTAGGCTGGGTAGGTCTGGCACACGAGCTCAAGCCAGGGATGTGATAGAGCTTGGGCCTAGGAAAGCAGCATACTGGAGCATGGGAGTACCCTGTAATGAGAGAGTTATGGTGAAGCCTGGGTGATGTGTGGCAAGAAGCAGTTAAACACACATGGCAGTGAATTTGGGACTTGCTGGTTTATCCAGGACTGGAGACAGAGCTCTGAACTCAGTCAAGGAAATATTGTCACTTACTAGCTTAGTGACTCCAGTGAGTCAGTGAACCCTGGTTTCCTCATTTGCAAAAATGATTCTGGTGCTTTCCTTGGTACGTGACCAGCAGGATGAGCTAATAGTGATGGGTATCAGAAGAGCTTTAAGGATCATGAACTATCCCAATTAGGGGGTGGGGTTACTGTTTCTGCTTGCGGTCAGGTGACGTGATCTTTACCACCAGCTACCTCGGAGTCTCTCCCTTGTGCTCTCTGTAGGGCTTTTCTGGGTATGTTGACAATGTGTTTTATAGGACTTCATGCCACCAATTAAGTAATCTTATTAGAGGCTTTTTTACTTTTTTAGTGGTGCTTGGGTTTGAACCCAGGGTCTTGTGTATGCTAGGCAGGCACTCTACCAATTGAACTATATCCCTAGCCCTTAGGGGCTTTTTAAGAAATATTGTTTAGCTTGGTAGAGAGACATTAGTGAATGTACCATTCTTCTGATACCAGGCAGGTCTGGACTTCCATAGGAAAGTCCAATGCAGAGATTTGGCTCTAGAGAAATCTGATGATTCTGTTCCAGGTCCTAAGTCTGTTACATTAGTCTTTTTTCTAAGAACGTATCACTCCTGCCCTAGCCATCTGTGCAGTGTTGGGTTAGATACTATGTTTTACTATAGAGAGTTTTTTTTTGAAGATATGAACTTATGTATAACTGTAAGTTTTACAGCTTCATCTAACACTGGGTCTTCACATTTTACTTTTAAGTCATTTTGGTAGGGACTTTGATGATTTCTGTGGTTGTGTCAGTTTTCAGACATTTGTCATTTTACTTGTTTCATGCTCAAATTTGTTTCTGCAGAATATACTTTGAAGATAATGTGTAGAAAATGAAAGCTCTTAAAGACTCATGTCCTTCATTTAATGGGGTCTAACTGGGGATGGGGGTTGGACAGGGGTGCCAAGACTGCCTTGTCATCTAGATTTTCTTTTTCTTAAAAAAACACACACACATACAACACACACACACACACACAGTAGTTGGACACAATACCTTTATTTTATTTATTTTTATGTGGTTCTGAGAATCAAACCCAGCGCCTCACACATGCTAGGCAACTGCTGTACCGCTGAGCCACAACCCCAGCCCCTAGAATGAGAAACTTCTATCCTCTATGGCGCAGAGTACTTGATTTGCCTTCTATGGTATCAGAAGCCATGGAGCAGTGATGGTGTTCTCTGCACTGGAATATCACTCCCCTGGCCTTGCTGCCTTGGAGAAACAAGCCAGCATGCAGGGACCTTCATTTCCAGGGAGAGCCAGGCCCTCCTTATGGTGATAGGCTGCAGTGCTCACCTGGGATGGACCTGAGAGTTCTGAGTTTGTTCTTATTAAGATGCACTGGCGGATGACTTTGCACGACGAGATAAGAGATTATTTGTATAGTCATCAAAGATGTGATTAGACAAGATATTGATTTGAACTTCTGTCCTTGTACCTGTTTCAACCCTATTCTTCCTTAGTGAGATGCAGGAAGAGAACAATGGAACAGGGAACTAGGCCGCTGGCTTTTGAAAAATATTGATTGGAAAGCACATTAGATGTAGCACAGACACCTTCCTCTTTGTGTGATATCATGCTGCACGGGGGCATTAATGTGCTCTGTGATCACCCCTACAGGGACTTCCTTTCTCAGGGAAAAGATTAGAAAAGAAAAAGAATCCCCAGAGGCAGTACCTCAAAATAATTTTAGCATTTCTAAATGTGTTTCTTTGAAGTCGTTGATCCCTTTGGTTTTCTAGGCCATGTGGTGGTGTGAAGGAGTTGTGTGAGGTGTTGGCTGTAAGCAACAAACTTCTGGGGCAGTGTCCATCTTAGCTCTCATCCACCTCTCTCTGACTTGGGCCTCCACTGTTGCATGTCTGTGTTTCTGTCATCTGTCTCTCTCTCTCTCACACAAACATGTCCCATATTCATGTTCTCTTTCCCCACAGTGCACATCTGTGGTGCAGATGTGCTGTGGACAGACATATCTGTATTTGAACCAGCTCTAAACTGGAGGCTCCCAGGTGGGCCACCCTGGGTGAGTGAGATGATGTAACCTTGAGTGTCCTCTGGTGAAGTGAAGTGTGGCCCTGGCTTTTATCTTGATTTGCCTGGGTTGGTTCTGTGTAGACAGCTAGGGAGCCTGTTAATGGATCCCCTGGGACCAAGGGAAGAGGAAAGAAGTGGATTTGTTGAACCCTGTGGCGCATTTAAAATGGTACCAAGAGCAGACTGAAACCTAACCAGCCTTTGCTTATCAGGCCTGAGTTCCAGCATGTTGAAAGGGCGATGAGTAGCAGGAAAAAGGTCAGGATACTTTCTCTTTTCCTTTGCCATTTGGGGGAAAATGCTCTCTGCCTTGCTAGCATTCAAAGCAGACCATTCTTGTTTCTCTACCACATCACATCAGCTTTCATCAAAAATTAACTGCAGCAAATACAAAGCCCTATCCATGGAAAACCGTTTAAGGCAACACTGTGCTCCAGTGCTTCAGGGGTGGGGTTTTTGCCTTCTGCACCAATGGATCAGTTTCTCATATCCATGCCTTTTTTGACCCAGCAGCTTTTAAAAGACCAAGAAGCATTGCTCTGCTTTCTACTGCCTCTAAGAGATCAGGGCTGCTGTGCCTCTAGCCATGTCCCAGAGAGCATATTTGAGACAAGTCAGCTTAATTTGCCTGCATGCTTAGGAAACCTCTCTTTAAAAATCTTAGTTTGGGAGAAGAACTGTATCTAAATATTCTGCTTTTCCCATCCAGGGGAGCGACGGAGGCGCCGATGCCAGGTGGCGTTCAGCTACCTGCCCCAGAATGATGACGAGCTTGAGCTGAAAGTCGGTGACATCATAGAGGTGGTAGGAGAGGTAAGCAAGCAGCCATGTAGTGCCATTGCCTCATGAGGCCATCAGACCCACTGTACACACAGCCATAGGAAGCTCTTGTTGCAGATGCACAGGCTACCTGGACTTCAAGTTGGATGTTTGAACTTGAAGAAACCCTAGAAATCATCCAGTTGAGTCTTCTGAGAAAATGGGTTACTTCAGAGGAATGCTTCAGGCCAGCTGTGGTCAGATGTGGGGCCATTTGAAACCATTGTCTTTCTAATACAGTATACTAATGCCTCTGAAATTCCAACCCAGCATCACCAACTTTCTCTTCTGCTTTAATTGATGATAGACTCTGGGAGTGTAAAATGACTAAGATCCATCTGCTCAGCATGGATTCAGAATCCACGGTGGATTTAGAGGGAAGGATAATAAATCACATTTATTAGAAGACCAAGTATATGGGAGGTGTGAGGAAGTTCCTTTTTTGTGGTGTTAGGATTGAACCCAAGGCCTTGTGCATGCTAGGCAAGTGCTGTACCAATGAGCTATATGTCTAGCCCTGTGAGTTCCTTTAAAAATTAGCTCACTGAACTTGTCCTGACTACTTTACTGTTGTAGATAAGAAAAGAGCCTTAATAGACCCAAGAAGAGACAGGGCTGAGGAGCAAAGACAGATCCATTGGTTTGGAGACCTTTATTTTTGTTGTACCACATTCCCATGTCCTGCTTGGTCATGGCTATTCAAAGCCAGACTTGCTGGTGAAATAGCCCCCCTGACACTGGGTTGGCTTCTCAGGCTCCATTCCCTTGGGCCTGGAAGATCTTGAGCCTCAGACTTAGAGCTTCATTATTCTGATTGATCATTTGTATCTGTATATAGAAAGAATTTTCTGATTACTTTTTCCTCCTGAATACCAACTGACCTCACAGCCTCAGAAATAGTAATTAATGTGCCAAACAAAAAATAGTAATTAATGTCCCTAGAGAAGCAGTTAATGGGATTCCAGTGGCACTGGGAGGACACCCTATAACTCTTTTTGCCTATTTCCAAGTTTTGAATAATTTGTACTGTTATGTCATTCATCATTTTTTAAGTCTCTGTTGTCAGCCAAGGCACATAGAAACAGTTCTTGAAAGTTGAATGAATGATAAATGAATGGACAATAGAAAACCAACATTTATTCCAACAATAGGTCAGTTTTCTTAAGATAGTAGCCATGGAAGAAATTCCCGAGGAAAAAAACAAACAGAATGTAAATTAAAATATATATTTTTTAAGAGAACGTGAGAGAGAGAAATTTTTAATATTTATTTTTTAGTTTTCGGCAGACACAACATCTTTGTTTGTATGTGGTGCTGAGGATCGAACCCGGGCTGCACGCATGCCAGGCGAGCGCGCTACCACTTGAGCCACATCCCCAGCCCCAAATTAAAATATTAATATGATTTGAAGCTAATGTAGCAAAAGAGAGCAACAAATAGGGAACATTTATAAAAAATTATAACAAAAAATTATATATGAACATGAAAATTTTGGGGAAGCTACTAGAGCAGTGATAAGTGATAGATAAATTTGCCCATAAACACAAATCCCACAAGGGGAAAAATCTTATTTTGGGGGAGATCTGGATTGAACCTAGGGGTGCTTAACCACTGAACCACATCCCTAGCCCTTTTTAATATTTTATTTAGAGACAGGTTCTTGCTAAATTGCTTAGGGCCTTGCTAAGTTTCTGAGACTGGCTTTGAACCCACGATCCTCATGCCTTAGCCTCCTAAGCTGCTGGGATTATAGGTGTGCACTACTGCACCCCGCTGCCACAAGGGGAAAATTCTTAACCACAAGAAAATGTTCCACCCTGATATTAATTAAAGAAGTATAAATTAAGACAAAAATGGGTTTCTACTTATGAATATCTAAGAAAGTGTTCAATGGTAAGACCATTGGCAAGCTTAGGCTAACTGATGAATTTGTGTATCTGCATGATACTTAGATGAAGCTATTTAGCAAGGTATGTGAAGAGCTATTAAAAGAATCTGAATAATACTTGTCGACTCAGTGATCTCATTCCTAAGAATTTATGTGCAGAAAATGGTTAATGAAAGAAAAAATACATGGGAAACATGGTAATTGCAGCAATGTTTGTGATAATGAAAGATAATCAAGAAAGGGAATTAAGTTATATTTTCCAGCTAGAAGATTGTGAAGCCATTAAGATAGTAAATACAGAGGCCTTTAAGTATGTATTTATTGTGATACTTTACCTTATAATTATCTGTTGTATTCCACTAAGCTGAGAACTTTTCAATACTAGAGACCTGGTTTTTTTTTTTTTTTTTTTTTTTAAAGAGAGAGTGAGAGAGAGAGGGGGACAGAGAGAGAGAGAGAGAGAGAGAGAGAGAATTTTAACATTTATTTATTTTTTCTTAGTTCTTGGCGGACACAACATCTTTGTTGGTATGTGGTGCTGCTGAGGATCGAACCCGGGCCGCACGCACGCTAGGCGAGCGCGCCACCGCTTGAGCCACATCCCCAGCCCCGAGACCTGGTTTTTATCTATCTTTATATTCATAGTTACCTGGAATAATGCTTGAAACCTAATATGCACTTTAACAAATGCTCACTGAATAAGTAAATGAATAAATGGAAATATGAAAAAAATTTTTTGCAAAATAAATGAACAGATCAAAACCCAAAGTTGTGTATACTAGGATATAATCATGTAAAATATATCTAGATGCACATCATCAAAGACTGAATGGGAACGAGAATTAAAAATGGTCCTGTCATCATAGATGATTTTTCCTTTAATACTTTAATAATGCATAAGAAAAACACAAATGAAGGAAAGGAAAGTGATTGCTACCTTTCTGAGAAATATTGCCCACTTTGCCTGCCTGTTGGCTATTGGGAAATCAAGGGTGGGTTGCTGTGCCAGTGCCCACCCAGATGACAGGAGGCCTTTACCACCATCTGCAATATCAGGCTCCTTTCCACTCACTTCCAGATGAGTGCCAGGCTTTATTCTGGGCTTGCTTCCATTAGAAAAAAGGAGAAATAGCCACAGGGTCCGTCTTACTTACATAAAGCGTAAAGGCTGATCTTTTAATCCATATTTTTAAAATTATAAAAAGCTTTATTATTCTTTATTATTCCAATTTACTTGTAATATTTCAAATATTAGGCCATTGTCATTGTGTAATATAAAAACTGTCATTTTCTCTGACAGTAAATATTGTATAAGTAGTAATTGGTGACTCTTCTCTAAATACACAAAAGACCAAAACCCCCCAAATAAACAGCAACCTTTAAATCTAAAGGACAGATTAAGGTAAAAAAACATAATACTAGGGGCTGGGGATGTGGCTCAAGCGGTAGCGCACTCGCCTGGCATGCGTGCGGCCCAGGTTCAATCCTCAGCACCACATACAAACAAAGATGTCGTGTCCGCTGAAAACTAGAAAAATAAATAAATATTAAAAAACAAAAACAAAAACATAATACTACCTTTGTAGTAATATATAATCAATCTATTAATCAATAAAAATATAACAGTGTATATGTACATATTAGATTATATTCTTATTGAATAATAGATTAATTTCTACTAAGTATTGCAGAGCTACACACACACACACACACACACACACACAAAATGTTGGCCCTTAAGGACTAGTTTCTTGGGGCTGGGGATGTGGCTCAAGCGGTAACGCGCTCGCCTAGCATGCGTGCGGCCCGGGTTCGATCCCCAGCAGCACCACATACCAACAATGATGTTGTGTCCGCCGAGAATTAAGAAAAAATAAATAAAT